AAACTCATCCTCAGAAGCTCACCTGACCTGTAACTGGGTAGTCTTCATGGTTCTGGTAGCAGCTATTCCTGGTGAATTCTCTGTCCAGGATGGAACAGTTTGATGTCAGAGAGTTGGGTCACACACCTGCAAGGGTGTGGAGTGGCAGATGAAGTTGAGGCTGGGGCAGCGCTATCGCCTGAAAGAGATTGCGGTTGGGTAATGGGGCAGCCTCACTCCTTCACTTGCATTGAGGGAGATTTAGGGGTAGCCATCTCCATTGTTGATGTTGAGGTAGCTATCAAACCTGTCTTGCACATCATTGCAGAACTCTCCTGCTTCCTCTTCCTCTGTATGGTGCTGCAGACCACTGGATTTGGGGGTGCTGGGCAACTGCTCCTGACGGTCATCCAACTCCGGCTGATGAAATGGCAGGCAATCACTAGTCTGATGTTTGACAGTCAAGAGTGCAGGAGGAAAAGCAATGGCCAATGACACAGGTCACAGGTCACAAGTACAACACAACACAATATATGAGCACATGAACACAACACTAGGTCGCAGCACAAACACTCACTTTGCTATAATGCTGGAGACTCCCTGATTCTTTAAACACCTTGTTATTTAACATTGTAAAAAGGTGTTCTTAGGAAAAGACTGTGCTTTTCCTTGTGGGACAGAAGAATACCTAGCCTAGTTTCTACAGTGTCCATTGACAATTGAGTTTTACCATTAGTGACAGTAATGATGACCTGATGTTTCCCAACAAGGTAGTTACATAATTGGGAGTGGGGGCTGTATGTCTGTTGTCTTGCTAATCCTAAAACCAGGTATGATTCAGCAATTGTCTTCACGAGACACTCCTACATTATGATATATAAATTATTTTTTATGTATTTTTTCAAATTTTTTTTCTAGTACGTTGAAGTAAATGAGGAAGTGCAGTGGTTACCCCACTGCCCTGAAGATGTGCCTGACCTGGAAACTCTCGAGTCATGGTCGAGGGAAGGAAAGAAGAAATTAACAATATCTGATGAGACAGAATTCTGTAGCCCAGAGGTTTTGGAAGGAATTTTGAGAGCAAAGGTGAGTTTAGTGCTTTTATATTCATGTTATCTATATGCTGTTGATTAAGAGACATTAGTTTTTGTAAGTGCCACTGTTAATGACTTAACAATAAAGCCCACATGTATGTAAGACCCCTAACACCAACCCCTATTTGGAAAAAAAAAAGATCTTTTAATCTAGTAGTTCAGAGTACATTGTTCACTGTAGTCTTTTTTGTCATTTTCTTTACACACTTATTAATTTTCTTTTTGTATTTACAAATTTTGTCAACTCTCTTAAGGATATTGAGCCATCAGCAGTTACTAGTTCTGCCTATCTCATGTGTTTACCTTTTTCCTTGAGTTTCTTTTTTTTTTCCAAAACTCAAGGAAAGGGGAAATCTGATGCAGTCACATAGGGCTATTAAATGACTCATTGGTGGCTGAGCACTTGTGTAGCCATTATTGCATAAACATAATTACAGTGAACATTACATGTGCCCAGCAGCAACAGGTCACCAAACTTTTTTTATTTTCTGTGTTTATAAACTGTTGATCACAATTACCCTCTGTACTAAGACTTTTTGCTGAAAGTAGCCAAGCACTGTATGCTGACCAGTATATAATAGGAATGAAAGACAGTAGTTTCAGGATAACCATTGTAAAAGAGTCACATGAAATACTATTTAGTATTGAAATCTGAAAGGAATAACTTGACACAAGTGTACAAAACTCTTGGACAGTGATTAGACTCATTTGGCATTTAGGAAGGGGCTCTTGCATTATTTCTGTAGGAAAATGAATGTGGGATGTACCATGTCTGCCGTGAATAGTGTACTTCAGGGAGGATACCATTTCCATCATCAGCATCCTATTTCTGCCTGCTGTGACTGGTGGCAGAGGATGTGTAACAGAAAATTGATTATTATGAAAATACAAAAATACTATAAAAATCTCACAAATAATTAAATTTTACAAATTGTTATTGTTATTGCACAGACTAATGGAAAGCCTATAGAGATGATAAGGAGTCTTGGTACAACATATTGAATGACTAATATAGATCTTGGAATATGAAAAAAAGCTGGAAACTCTTTATGTGGAAAAAGAGATTATAACATTGCAAAGGGGTGGCAAGGAGCTTAACACCGGTCTACAAGCCACACATTTAGGAGAGTTGCCAATCAAGTAAGCCTCATGCCTGGATTTGGGCCATGTGCGGGCAGTGAAGCACCCAGATCCAGTGGGTTGAAAGGCTTTAAGTAAGTTTAGTAAGAAAGAAAGTGAATGATTTCTTCCAATCCACGTCTAGTGCTCTAAATTCATAAATTATTGTCCTGAAGTAAAATTGGAGGAAGTGGATGATAACAAAGTTGACAGTCTATTCTCATCCATTTAATTGTTGCTGAATATAATTGTATTAACTTTCCTGAATTTTACTGTGTTGCATTATAAGTCAAATAGTATTACAGACTATTTTTTTTTTGTAATTTTGATAAATGGCTATCAGGATATACACCTACTGTCAAACATGCTTCAATTCTTATAGCATATTATATATTGGTATATGCCCTTTGTCTTTTTTGTCAGATTTTTGTAGTCTATATGTAGTGAATATTGAAAATCCCAGTATACAGAGTACTGTCTCAGTCCCAGGATTTTTCCACTTCATAGGTTCCTTTGTCTTGAGTATACAGTTGCATATTAATTTTTGTCTCTTCACACAACAGACTATATTTGACCAGCTTGATGCGAGGGAATTACAGAGAAGCAGATCGAGGAGTAATCCCTTTGAGACCCTGGGAAAACTTTTCTTCCAAAATAGAGCAGCTTTGAAAATGGCAAATATGGATGCAGTGTTTGACTTCATGTTCACAAGGCCTGTAGATGAAACTGGGGTAAGCTATTTTCTTTTTTCTTTGGTCAAGTTTGCATGGAATTTCTTTTGTTTTTTCATAAAGATTCTGTATGAAATGTAGTTTGCTATGCTACTTTTTTATGGCAAAGTATAAAAAAAAGGATCTTGTAAACTTACATAGTTTGAAGTGAATATCTGAATGTCATCTGGTCATCTTAAAAGTAGTGAATTTTCTTGTGTGTAATTTCAATACTACCTTAATATCATATTTCAACCTTTATTTTTGTAATTATTTATGGTTATATACTAATTTTCTTTTTCTAATATATTATCTTTAACACAGGAGTCACTAGTTGGTTCTGATGAGGTGCTATACTTTGCTGATGTGTGTGCTGCCCCAGGTGGCTTCTCAGAGTATGTTCTGTGGAGAAGAAAAACAGATTCAGAGAATTTCTGTGATGCTAAGGGATTTGGGTTTACCCTACGTGAAAATGACTTCAAACTCCATGATTTCTTTGCAGCCCCAGCTGAGTTCTTTGAACCACATTATGGTGAGTTGTTGTCTGTTGCAGTCAGGTGTGGTGAATTTGATTTGGGCCTGTAGTCTAGAATTTTCTCTCTGGTATGATATATAATGAACAGTAATCCCTGTTTCTTGTGCTGATAAGAGTAGGTAAGGTAAAAAAAAAAAAAAAGTAAAAGTAATATCTGTGCTTATATCAGTGACACCAGTACTATTTCCTGAGTTGCAAGGAGCAGTGATACAAATATGTGACTACATTATGAAAAATTCCACACACTTTTTTGAAATTCATGCTAAGGATAGGAAACCTATACATTTTCATGCTTGGACATTCTTCTCTCCAGCAATAATGGGCATGATGTTCCTTTCCCTAGGTATTAATGGTCGAGATGGTGATGGAGATGTGTTTCAGCCAACCAACATTACAAACTTTGTAAATTTCGTCCGCAAAAGTTCAGGAGGCCAGGGAGTCCACTTCATGATGGCTGATGGAGGTTTCAGTGTGGAGGGCCAAGAAAACATACAGGAAATATTGTCCAAACAGCTGTACCTCTGTCAGTTCATAGTTGCATTGGGCATTGTGAGAACTGGTGAGTTAAAAGTTCCCACTGTTTCTTTAACCCATTGGCAGTGGGGTAGATATTGTTGAGTGCCACTCTTACAAGGAAGTTTGGGTCTTGTGCATAGCTTTACATCAAGGTAATTTCAGGCTCACAGTAGTGTGTTTAATGTCTCATAATGTTTTTTTTTCCTGTCACAGTTATTCAGATAGTATAATTAGCCCAAAGAGCTTTTGCAAGGACATGGCAGAAAAGCAAGATGTGATTATCCTGCATGTGTATGTGCTCATGTGTGTACAGTCAGACACATACACTCACACTGTTTTTTTAAGGGAACCAATTTTCAGATACACACTTTCATGCTAGCCTAGTTTTTTTCAAGAATTTGGGAAGTTATAAGAAGATTTACAAATAGACTTCAGATACTGTTTGTAAATGGAAAAGATCTAGGTCACAGTTTGTTAGGTTCCTCTTCTATGAAAGAATCATTAGTTGTGAAAATTATTAGTTTGAATTATATTTTTTATCGGTTTTGTTATTTATTTTATTTTATTTTATTTTATTTTATTTTATTTTATTTTATTTTATTTTATTTTATTTTATTTTATTTTATTGTACTGCATTATTGTGTTGCTATGAAGTACCAGAGTTTTACCTTTGATGTTTTTGGGTGAGATGCAGTTAGAAATTAAGTAATATAGGTAAACAATGTGGAGAGATGTTTTTACTTCCCCCTTCCCTCCTCCCTCCCCTTCTCCTTCTCCTCCCTCTCCCTCTCCCTCTCCCTCTCCCTCTCCCTCTCCCTCTCCCTCTCCCTCTCCCTCTCCCTCTCCCTCTCCCTCTCCCTCTCCCTCTCCCTCTCCCTCTCCCTCTCCCTCTCCCTCTCCCTCTCCCTCACCCTCTCCCTCTCCCTCTCCCTCTCCCATAATGTACTACTCATCATCATAATAACTTTTGTTTTGCAGATGGGCATTTTGTGTGTAAATTGTTTGATGTATTTACAACATTCAGTGTTGGCCTCATATATTTGATGTACCGATGTTTTAAATACGTCAGCCTCCACAAACCCAACACAAGTCGACCTGCAAACTCTGAAAGGTAAGGGAATAGATTTGTCTTGTGTAGATTGTACAAGTGTTAGTGGGTAGTCAGATTCAGAAAAGCAGTAGCCAGACTTACTTGATTAGTAGATACTTTTGGCTAATTGAAAAAGATTCCTGTTAAAGAATGTTTGATATCTGAATTTTATGGGCCAGTTTTCTTCTTTTATACTGATGTGGACAATCATTTGAAATTGTGTTTAAAGAAACTGAGAGAAGAAAAATGTTGGTGTATAATTGGAGTAGTTGATAATAGATATAAAAATAGTAACCAACTTGATTAATCTGTGCATTGATACATCATTTGTCTCTCTCATTATGAAATAAGACTGAGATTATTTAAATGCAGTTTTAGAGTGTGTGCTTTACTGTGCTATGCTCACAGTAAATCAGTAAAGTGTTTGTTGTTCCATTCTGGAGGAGCTGATATGAAATGTCTGTGCGACATCCTATTTTTTAGTACTACTGTTTTTATTGCTTTGTTAATTTTATCTATATATGTAGATAGCTATAGTTGCTCTTGTCACTAAGGAGTCAATTATTAGTCAAGCCTAACCATGCCACTTACTGCATTCCTTCAATTTTTAGAATTGTTATTTTTTTTATTTAACCTAATACTGCCAGGGATGGCATGGAAGTACATGCCATGCTCCACAAGTGCTAAGTCACCATTAAGCCAATTATGAGTACTACCTGTCCCTCCTCTTTACCCTTTTCCTTGATTTTTATAAATATTTTCTGGTATTTTGTATTTGTTAATAATGTCACTATAATAATAATAATAACACTTTAATAATTTTAATATCTTTGGTAAAAATACCTGCATCAATATTGATAACAGTAGTCAAATTCCTGCTAATTCAAGGAATGGTGGAATCAGGTGAGATCACAAGGTCTACTAATTTACTCCTTTGTGGCTAAGCACTAAGATATTTCACAAACAATACTACAGTGAACATAGCATTTTCCTAGTGACACTGGGTTGATACTTTTATTATTATTTTTAATAAAAAAAAGAGGTATGAATGAGAATGAATATCTTTACTATGCAATAGATGTATTTAACCAGTTTTGAATATATCTTCATCAGAAATACATTTATTTTTGACAAAATTCGAAACCAGTTAAATACATTTCTTGTATTGTGAAGATATTCATTCTCATTCATACCTTTTCTATATTTGTTGCTATGAATACAGCTCATTATTATTATTAACATTATAGTATAATTATGAAAATGATAATAACAATGATTGTAATGATAATATCTTTTGAAAGGAAACTTTTTTGGAGGTTTAAATAGGTGAGATCACAACCACTGATTGGTGGTTTGTCTGATACTGAATTCAATCAATAGTCTAATTATCCTTTAATCACTTCTTAGTTGTGTATCTAATGCTTTTTAAGGCTTGTTAAAAAGTTTTGACTCATTAATTAAGAAAATTTTATTACACATCCCAGTAAGATAACATGTTCTTCTCTGTCACAGGGAATGTCCTACTTTGATTCCCTCTTCTACTTCTCTTGGATAGTGTTCAATGATATTCCTTAACCCATTCGCGCCGGGTGTCACGTATACGTGACGGGCCCACTGTGAGTTTACTTGTTTGATTGTTTACAAACATAGATGGCTCTACTTGCATTTGTACTGCCTGTCTCGTCTGTTTACCCTTTTTTTTTATTTATGAAATTATTTTGCATTATCTTATTTTGCTGTTACTAATGTTTATAACATTATAGTAATTATAATGTTTATAATAAAAATAACCATCGATATTCATAGCACTAGTAAAAATACATTTTCCCGCCAAATGAAATCAGTTAAAGCAGAGCCATCTAGTGTAGAGAAATTTCATTAAAAAACATAAAAAATGAGCACAGCATTTCCCCCATTTTTTGTTCATTTTTACCCGGCGCGAATGGGTTAAGTATATAATGAGGTATCTTTCTCCATCTTTGTAGAGAGAAAAGTTTGAGTTGTTTTAGTCTTTCCCAATATCAAAGACCTGCCATATTGTCTAATTTTTGGATGAAAACTCTTTGACCTATTCAAGTAATATTATGTCTTCTGTTAGACTTGCATTCCATTCCATAGATATAAAGATTCTTCTTAGCCTTTTCTCCATCTCCAGCGACATGTAATTGTGATATTCAACAGGAGAGAAGATATGACCTTGATTTTGGATGTTATATATTGTAATTTCTGAAGTTGATTGACTGCCAAGGTTCATTTAACAACATTACTGTATCAGACAAACCAAAATGTCTGTTTGTTGCTGTGATGAACAGAATGTAGACCAGATAGAGATTAGTTATAGCATTAATAATGATAAGTGTGGGTAGACATTGAGTGATCTATCAATATATATGACTTATACTTTCTATTGGTTGCCACCTCCCCTTGTGAATAGTTGGGGTCCTAATCAATCACTTGTGGCAACAGACAGGCTCAAACTCCTAAACACTAGATTAGTACTTGAGTCCATAGGCCACTGTGATATCTGATATAGGTTATGGTACACAATGTTTTGGAAAAGCAGTAAAAAGTAATCTATTCAATAATATCTAGTATTTTGTTTTCCTAACTTCATATTATGTGAACACTTCATTCATCAAATATTTGAAAGTGATTTTTTGTCATTTGGCTATGATATCACAAATAGATTTATATTGACTGCAGTACCATCAGGGTAATATCACAATTATGAATTTATGATTGGGAAAAAAAAAAATTAAAACTTTTATGTGTTTTCAGATATATCATTTGTAAATGGAAGAGAGAAGGAATAGAAGATGTATATGAGTACCTGTTTGAAATGAACCAAAGAATTGCTGGCCTAAAATCAGGTATTGATGTTCTGGAGCTTGTACCTCTTGAACTTTTAAAGAGTGATGAAGCTTTCACAGAGTACATCATCAATTCTAATAATACGTAAGTATTCTTAACTCACAAAGAGCTTGTTCTAAGTCATTTCTGTTATTCTTTTCTGCACTGTGCCAGAGCTTGCCCGATTGTTTAAGGCAAATGTGATCATATTTTGTCTTTAAATTCCCTCTAGAGCAAGCTAAGCCATAAAATTTTTCTCATTCGAAAATATTCCAAGAAGATCTTTATTGATCTTTTATTTTTCTTTACATTTGCTGTTATTCTTATTTACAGGAAACTTTTTAATTGATTAACTGACAGACAATGATCTCATATCATAAGGATCTCATTTTTTATGGTCTTTCTTTTTGTTGAAAATATACACACATGCAAAAACAAACATGTTCTGACTCTGCCCATCCTCATACAGTCCCAATTTCAATGCATACAAGAGACAAGTGAACTCGTTATGTTTCTTACTTTACTAGCCATTGGAAATTATCCTCTATGTTGAGTCCTGTTAGCATTTTTATATATATGGCAAATATAAATGGTTAAGCTCTAGAATCACTTTGTTTTTTAATCATTTAAGGTAGTATCTAGCTTGGAAATATATTTAATTGTGTATAATATCAACTGCATTTACCATAAGAACAGTTACATTTGTTTTAGGTCATGATGATATGAGAATAGTCATAAAATTAATGGCAAATGTTTTGAGGATAACACTTAAATTCTTTTCATTTTTGGCATGCCATGCTTATTATCAATATGTTGAATAGTCTAAGTAGGTAAAGTAACGAAAGATTGGGCTGTTCTTACTTTACTTTTTCATATCCTTCCAGCATAGGTTTCAGACAGATCGTAAGTTTACGCAAAATACAAGTGTATTGTCAAGACACCCAGTTGATTGAACCACGACAAGCAGAGCTTCGTTCACAGTGTCTGGAACTTTGGCAGCTCCCAGATAGAACAAGAACAGCCCCACAGCGTTCTGAAGCCAAGGTTAAATTCATGGAACTCTTGAAAGGTGAAAACCCAGGTATGTGCTGCATTAGATTGTTTGATAGTTTCAAGTTTTAGAATATAGATGAATTGTAAATTATCCTCTGATGAATATACGTCAAGTGAAAATACAAATTATTTGATAACTCATATTATAGAGATTTATATTTTGTAAGTAAGATTACCCTTATAAAAGTCAAAGACTAATCAGAATTGCTTGTTTGCTCTTTGGTAGCTAGGTTACAAAATGTGAATGATTGCAGATTACATGTGCCATCCAGCTGAAGACCTCTCCTTGGGCAACTTCAAGGAGAAACTCCGAAGTCCCTATGATTACCGCTGCGTGATCCTGGCCTCACCCCGAGATGGAAGGAAGGATAGAGCCTTTTATTTGGGTAACGAGAGAGATTTATTATTATGTTTTTCTGCAGTAACATAACTTTTCTTGCAGTTAAACAAATTTGAATATTTTAGTTTAAGTAATAGGGCTTGGTTTTCTGTTTAATCATTGTTGCTTCTCTCATTGTTGATGGTAGTGGTTCCAGGGTGTTCAAAGTCATCTGCAATTGTAACTCATAATCTGGTAATTATTTTTATCACTGTACTTTCTCACAGAGGCAATACTGGAAACAGTTAACCCATTGCCGCCGGGGAAAAAAGAAAAAAAAATAGGGAAAATGCTGTTAAATGTCTGCCTATAGATGGCTATGTTAGCACCTGATTTGAAATGGTGGGAAAAACGTATTTTTCACTAGTGCCATGAATATCGATGGTGATATTTTTATCGTAAACATTATAATTTTTATAATGTTTTTTAACATTAGTAACAGCAAAATAAGATAACGTAAAATATTTCGTAAATCAAAGAAAAGGGTAAATGGGCGAGACAGGCGGTAATCGTAACTGGCTCAATGGTGATTTAGTACAAATGTAGCCATCTATGTGTCAAAACAATCTAACAAGCAATCTCACAGTGGGCATGGCATGGCATGCCCGGCGGGAATGGGTTAATAGAACAAAAATCATTAAGTGCAGTAAAAAAGATATATATGATAATAAAAAGACATATATTTCACTGAAACAAAAAACTACTATTGGATTGCAGTCAACATTGGTATAGTTATAGTTAGGAACAAGATATAAAATATAAAATGTTAATTCACATATGCCTTTATATTGTCAATTAATATATACGTATAAGTACGCATTACACTCCCTTTACCATATCCTTCCCTAAGTAAAGTTTCTCCCCAAGTCCACCTCTGGCAAAAATTTCTCTACTTAGATTGTAGTTCCTCCCAGATGAGAATACAGTAAGAGCATTAAAAGAGTTGTTATATCTCATCTATAGGACTTGGTGGCTGCAATGTGTTCCGATGGGAGGGTCGGGCAGTTAGTTCCTGGATGCGTGTGGACACAAAATTGGAACTCCCACCCAATACCCTGGTTTATGCTGAACTGGTTGTGGAACACAGAGGAGAACACAAAGCACAGCGCAAACTAACGACATTCCATTTGATAGATGGAATAGTCCTCAATGGGAAGGATATCCGAAACTTACATATTGTTGAAAGGTGGGTTGGAGGATGAATCTGAATTGGGTAAGAGTAATTGCTGGTGAGATTTTTTCTTTTTCTGTTTTCATTTTTTTAAATGATTCTAATTAAATATATTTTGTATGGAATAAAAAAATTTTCCATTTGACTTTTTCATTACAGAACATTTATATTTTTTTCCTATTACTTCCAGTACACATTCTTTGTTTGACTTTCCCCTTTTTTAACCCTGCAGACACAACTACTTAAGAAAATTTGCTCTTGGTCTCAATAAACCAAGCAGACCAGACCTGGCACCCATAAGATGTAAACAGCTGTACAAGTTAGAAGATCTTGGGGATGTCTTGGCACCTCCCAGGTCAGTTCAACTCATTAATTCAATGTTATGCAGGGAGAAGGATTAAGAAGCAGGCAAAGAAAAAGAGCAACAGTCCAGATTTGGCTTTCATGCTTAGTCTACCCTTAATACAAAAAGCATGAAGTCCCACTCATGTTATTGAAGAGTTCATTATAATTCTTCCCCAGCCCTAATTAATGGTATCCTAGGTATGATTTCTTCTGCCAGCCCAAAGACATGCTCCTTAGTGCTTTGCTTGTGATGACTATGCTAGCAATTTCCAACTGGTTATTCACACAATTGTTTTTATTCATTTACATATTTTGTTTACCCCTCAAGGCCTTTTTATGATGAATGTGGCATACCTTATCCTGTTTGCAGAGTCTTATATGCCACATTCTAACACAGACTTTCAAGCACTGATGGGCTGGTGACCCATATTTTTTTCACTGTGATTGAAGTGTGTGTATTGTCCACTAATAAGTCTTACACTGTGTGGCAGATTCATTCCAAGCACACCAGTCATACTATCCCAATACCCCCATTTCTCTTGGAAGCTTTTCTTTCCACAAGTCAGTCATATGAGCATGTTTTGCATGTCCTTGCCTTTTTCTGTGAGTGGAATGTAAATGTCTGCTTTTCTCCCTCCATAAACCACAATTGTTAAGTAACATCATACAATCCCCTGGTATTCTGTTGTCTTTATACTGTTGATATATATAAATCCAGATGAATATATATTTTCATGGTGTATTTGATATTTACGATATTCCAAGCTCTTGAAATATCCGTAAATAAGATTTGCTCTAAGGAAACTCAGGCATTAATTATAGTTTGGGGGCAGATAAACTGAAGGGTTTGGTGTTCCAAGGGATTGATGGGCAGATAAAATGAACGTTATGCTCTACATCTGTCAGATGAGCCTTAACCCTTTTCTCTAACAAAAATTCCCTTTTTTTAAATATTTAACGTTTTGAAACTTAAAACACACTTGCAAAATGTTTCATGACTTGTGTTAACCCATTCGCACCAGGCGTCATGTATACGTGACGGGCCCAATGTGAGTTTACTTGTTTGATTGTTTACAAGCATAGATGGCTCCACTTGCACTTGTACTGCCTGTCTCGTCTGTTTACCCTTTTCTTTAATTTACAAAATTATTTTGCGTTATCTTATTTTGCTGTTACTAATGTTTATAACATTATAGTAATTATAATGTTTATAATAAAAATAACCATCGATATTCATAGCACTAGTAAAAATACATTTTCCCACCAAATGAAATCCGGTAAAGCAGAGCCATCTAGTGTAGAGAAATTTCATTAAAAAGTATAAAAAATGAGCACAGCATTTCCCCCATTTTTTGTTCACTTTTACCCAGCGCGAATGGGTTAAAAGAGGCTTGTTGATAAAATATATGAACACCTTTTTTCATGTGATTATCTAAGAAAATGGGAGTACTCTCCATTGTCTGGATTTTGTTATTAATATGATAAAAAAAAAAAAAAAAAATGATATATATGTGTGCGTGTGTGCATGTGCATGTGCATACATATATGTGTGTTTTTGTTTGTTTAAAAGTCTGCATATGTATGTAAGTGTTTGTGATTATCTAGTTACATGAAGTTTCCTGAATCTTCTCAACTGTTTTCGTTTTTTTTCCAGACTGCACCATAGGTTGATGAAAGGAGGATCTCTACCAAGAAGAGTATACCTGGAAGTGGAAGGTGACTCGGACAGGGAATCTTATTACACCATTCCCACAGCACTGCTTCTGGTCAAATCTACCAAAGGTATAGTTTGATCTGTTAATATCATCAGTCATCTTTGTTATTGCCATTGTGGCGGGACCACCACCATAACCATCACACCACATCACCACCATCACCATATCTCTTATCACTACCACATCACGCCAACACACCACACCACTTTGCCACCACCATATCATCTTATCAAGTAATACCCTCTTCTTTTTTTTTTTTTTTTTTAAGAATGATAATAAAAATGGGACTTTTTATTTATTATGAATGAAAATGCAGAAAAAATGATCAATATTCTCTTTTTCTTTTAGAGCCTTGGATGATGGCATTCAGTAAGAGTCAAAATAAGAAATATTGGTTTAATACAAGGACTAGACACTCTACCTTTGAATGTCAGCAGGAATTCATCGCACCATTTAGGTAAGCATATTATGAGTTTTGTGCAGGAGTTTTCTTTTCAGTGTAGTTCTATTTTGTGAAATGTCTTTACACATATTACCAGGCTAGTTAGTGGTTAATGGTTAAAACAAATAAATGTGCTAGGCATCAAAGATCATATAACACTAGGGTAAAGTTTTGTGGTGAAAAGGATAAAAATAAGTTAACAATTAGGATAAGTAGACAAAAGAATGGGATGAAAAAGAGAAGGAAAAGGAGAGGGAGAGAGGTAAAGACCATTCAGAATTAATGCGCTGAGGTCCAAGGTAGGGGTCATCCCCTATATGGGGCCTCAGTCTCTGTCTCCTGCACCCAACCCCCCCCCCCCCCCCACACACACAAAACTATAAAAATCAAGGGGTTGGGTATGCTAGCTGTTGTATAATTGAATTACCTAGATAGTACTGTCATATCAGTCTTTTAAGGGAACTTTTACATTGTATGTGGCTTACCATATAACTGAATCAATACTTAGAAGTCAGTAAAAAAAGAAAAAAAAATCATGTGCCATGTATCTTTGGGTGTCACCTCTGGATCTGATACTGCTGAAACTTTTAAACTTTGTAAACACTGTGAATTCTAATATTTTCTTGGGTACAAATGTACTCACTATCTCTATATATTTTTTATTGAGATGATATCACTGATCAGAGCAGTGATAACATCAATTTCATCATCCAGTGATGACACTTTATGAACTTGGCAGGGAAATGTGCCACAGGTCATTTGTCACTTATCAGAAATTATTATCTCACAAGTAATTTATCTCTTGCACTCGTAAAATTGAATTTATGTTAAGGGCAATTCCATGGTTATATTAGATAATGGTAACTTTCTTTATTCTTGGAGATTGTGAACTTTGCTTTTTATTTATATTTTTCGTGAAATAATAATATACTGGGTTATCAATATGTTACTAAATTAATTATTATTGTTGCTATTACAAATAATTCATTATTGTTACATTCAATATTATTACAGATGTATCACTTTTATGTTTTTTTTGTTTTTTTTTCCTGACAGTTCTTCCTACAGTGGGAGCCTAATATGGTGGTGGGACAGTAGTGTTCAGGTTCTCAGTGATGATGAACCAGGCAAAGGGAAGCTCCACCGTGATAACTTGCTCTCCCACCTCGCCAGTCTGCGCTGAAGGCCTTTGCACAGCTTATAATCAATTAGCCTTGTACTTTAATTTTGTGTGGGAAGTTTTTTGTGGGAAGTTTCTGTGAAATTTCTTATTTAATTGTGAAGAGATTACTCAAAAAATGAGATAGTGGATGAAGTTTCAATTGTATCTTGCCATTTTTCTATGTAAAAAATGTAGGTAGGGTATAATGTTTTGGAAGTATGCCATGTTGTTTTAGGTTTTTATGTCTGATTTTGATATCAAAATCTCATGAGTGCAGATTGAGATGTTATATTAATGTACAGTCAGAGACACAGCTATCATCCCAGATTTTGGCAGCAGCATAATGGAAAGGTTAAGATAATTTACATGTCTGTGATATTTGTACATTCAGCAGACATTACTGTTCATTGGGCATAGTTATAACCTGGACAGATTTCAGTCATTCACATATATTACCACATGTAGGCTGAGCTTATGTCAGGTCTGTGAACATTATTTCTTTCATTGATTCATGCTGTCAAGATATTCTGCTTATATTAGGTTTGATGTAGTACAGCCAGTAAAAGCAAATTAAAATACAGATGTGGAACAGATGCCTATCTGTAGTTCACACAAACTTTTATCACCAGACCACCAACATGAATCAATACTAATAATTAATCTTATTTTGTAAAACTATCAAGTGATAATGTAATGCATGAATGTAAACTACTGGTTACTCTGATGTTTCATCTCTATATGCCTTTTAGATTTATGGAGGCCCCTGAAAATAAGTTGTTGATAAATACTGATTGTGCTCAAATATTTTGAAGTATTACTATAATGGAATCCCAATCTCCAACTAATGCATACCAAGCAACCATATATTGTCATTGAGCATCATAATGTTTTGATAGGTTTAATAGTCATGAAAAAAAAATAAAACAAAAGATAGTTGTGTTTCAACTGTACATAATAATTTCTGTTTACTGTACTGTGTAACTGGTTTGTCTTAAAACATGTGAAACTTGAAAAACTTGTGCATTGTTTACCATTTCTTACTATATGATTTGATTTATTTAAACTTGAAATCCTCCGATAACATGGTAATGTAGACTGGTAACCCTCTGCGTTATTTATTTCTATGCCACTCAATCAAGACATTTCATTAGCAATGCCTAATTCAGATTGGAAACCTCCCAGATCAACCAGTGCTCCTGGTAATAGCATGCCCCAAAGATCAATGGTGCAAATGTTTAAGGAGCTCATAAACCTAAAAAAACATATGCAGTGTTTAAAAAGTATGTGTATGGCATGCTTTCCCCACAATTACAGTTTAACGCAAGTCTTCCAGCATGTTTGGTGGAAAGTCAAAGGTGTTCCTTCAAGTGAACAAAGGTTGTGAAAGCTGTTGTAAACAACTTGTTATCATCATTTTTAAAAGATATTTCTACTTAAATTATTTAAATGTATTTTTTTTTTATCTGGTGGAGTTGATAATAGTATCAAAAGTATATTTGTTTACACAAGTATCCTGTTGAATGGCTAGAATAAATAAATGTATGATGTTAAGTAAGTGTCCACAATCACGCACACACATAAACATGCACATACACAAACACGCACACATAAACACACATGCACAAACACGCACACACACACAAAGAAACATGCACTCATGTACTCAATTACACACACACACACACACACACACACACACACACACACACACACACACACACACACACACACACACACACACACACACACACACACACACACACACACTCACACTCACACTCACACTCACACTCACACTCACACTCACACTCACACTCACACTCACACACTCACTCACTCACTCTCACTCACTCACTCATACTTCCTTCTGCAGTACAGAATAGTGCCTTGCACTACTGAGTTCATGTTATACCTAACATGTATTACATGGTTGCATGTTAAAGGAGGATCTACTGCATTTTATTATTGTAATTATTTTACACTGTTTATGGTGTTTAAACCCCATAGTATTTTATTTCTTTTCATTGGACATTATAAGATTATTTTTTTTAATATATTTAAAGCATTCCAAGTTCTTCAAGATTTATGTAAGTGAATATCTGATAGTTGTTGAGAAAGTTCCACATAAGAACTTATTAACCAGTTGTAAAGTGCCTACAATCAGTATAATAGAGAATGGCATTTATGTTCATTTATTTTGATAATCTGTGATGAAATACGTTAATCTTTTAACTAGGTGATTAGTACAAATTTTTATGGGTAAAAATATCTACACCTAGACCATACATTAATTATTGGATATTTTTTTCTTTTTAAAATGAAGTCTTAAAGATTGTGGAGCTAGTTTTTACACAAACAGATGTGTGCTATGGTGAAAATAGCACAATATAAGACATGTGTATTGATATAAAGCACTGCTTAATGATGCATAAAATTTCTTACCAGGAATCTTTGTTTATTTATTTATTTTCCTCTTACCATACTTTCAATAAGCTTTTTGTTAGAGAATTTGGAAATAAACGCCTGGTACTTAATAATCAGGAAACTGTTATGAATGATAACAGAATAGAATGCAACGGTGCCAACAAAACTATGTACATTTTAATTGGTATGTCTGTATAGTCAAGAACATTATCAAGAGCCGAAAAATTCCATCCAATCTGGATGTGCTGGAGTGAGGTAGTACTGAGGGGAGGAGGACAATAAGGGTGAAAAGGTTGGAGGAAATAAAGAAGACTGTGCTGGATGAGCAGATGGAGTTGAGGATATTGTGAGAGAGGAAGGGGAATATTCTAAAGACCAAGTAATGACCTTTGTGGATGACTCGGATTCCTTAATCTAAGGAGAGTCATTTGCTGGGAAACGAGGAGTTAATTTCAAGAAGGTTTGTTGATAATGAGGCAACCCTCAGTGCCCTAATAACAAAATCTTAATTTCTTACCATGGTGAGCCTGAAATATGTGGGGAATAGAAATTGTATACTCTTCTGGGTCCCTATGAGCTCAACTGGCTGAACCCAATGCTGACGAGCATGATGTCTATGTACGTGCTATGACGACTGTGAGTTACTTGTTTGATTGTTTTTACACAGATGGATACACTTGTACTAAGTCACCAATGAGCCAATTATGTGTACTGCTTGGCTCTCCTGTTCACTCTTTTTGTTGATTTACAAAAATATTTTACATTAGTTAATTTTGCTGTTACTAATGTTTATAACATTATAATAATTATATTGTTTATAATAAAAATAACACCATTGATATTCATAGCACTAGTGAAATATGTTTTTCCCGCCAATTCAAATCAGGTAAGGTCACACTAATTGACTCCTTTGTGGCTAAGCAATAGCAGAGCCATCTATTGCAGAGACATTTCACAAAAAATATAGAAAATGAACACAGCATTTTCCCCATTTTTTTATTCATTTTCCCTGGCGGCATTGGGTTAAAGGTGAGACCTGTGTAAAAGCCTATAGATGCCTCTAAACAATGACTATGACTGGTTGGGAAGTGATAATGGTTATATGGCTTGACTTTTTATTCAATGAGTCATACAACACAGTTATGGGAACACATGAGATGTCGTCTTCGGGTAAAAGCTGAGCACAGTGTCATGTGTCCAGCTAGCCAGCCTGGGGGGGGGGGGTGCAGGCTGGTGGTTGACCTGAGACCTGTGTAAAGCCTATAGATGCCTCTAAACAATGACTATGACTGGTTGGGAAGTGATAATGGTTATATGGCTTGACTTTTTATTCAATGAGTCATACAACACAGTTATGGGAACACATGAGATGTCGTCTTCGGGTAAAAGCTGAGCACAGTGTCATGTGTCCAGCTAGCCAGCCTGGGGGGGGGGGTGCAGGCTGGTGGTTGACCTGAGCATGGTGACTGCTGGGAGTGAATTTTTATTTGTTTTGAGTTTACTCTCATAAAGTAATGACATGACAATGGCAATCCACAAGGATTTACTTAAAGGGATAGCCTAGAACTGGTGCACTATTTTGCATCCACAGTTGGCCTAGGTTAATATTTATCCATTAATAAAATCAAATTGAAAATTTACATTTTCCCGCCAATTCAAGTAAAGGTGAAATCAGGTAAGGCAGAGCCATCTAGTGTAGAGAAATTTCATAAAAAATATAAAAAATGAGCACAGCATTTTCCCCATTTTTTGTTCATTTTTACCCGGCGTGAATGGGTTAACTTTATGCACATCCAATTCTCAAGTGCCTCCATCTTTCCTCCGTCGTTTGGTAGTTCCCTGCAGGCTAAAATTGTCACCAGACATTGAAATTTGTCACAATAAATGCACAATAACGGCTGATCTCCTGACCCATATACATGGTACTACGTCACACCCGTATGGAGGCGCTACCGGCAACATTTTGTAGCAGACGGATTTCAGGAGCAAAAATGCTAGATAAAAAGGGCTATAAAGTCTAGTATTGTGAATGAATTTACAAAATGATGCCTTGGGATGTTTATTTAGATTTTATATTTTGCAAATAAAGTAAAAAAAACACATTCTACTACCCTCTGGACTATTCCTTTAAACCAATTGTCGTCACACAGAGAAGAAATGTACGTAAAATAAGAAATTGTACATCATATACGAGTCACTCGTCACAACTGACAAAATTGCGGGAAAAAGAGATACATCATAGATCTTTACACCTGCAGCTATGACAGCAACAAACCCTATTAATGAAAAGGTATCAGTGTCTTTTGTTCTGCATGGATGAGTGAGGGAGTGTGTGTGTGAGCAATACTGAGCATGAAAGAGAATGAAAGGGAGTGTGAGCTCACAGACTGAATCACAAACATGAAGATTAACATTCGATATAACAATACTGCAATAAATTAGCAATGCTGTTAATACAAAATTACTTCAACTACCACACTGAATTCAACATTTAATGATATGTGACGGAATGTATGCACTAATGAATGGTGACATGAAAAAATATTTGCAAGCAAATCTCGTGTCAGAAATACTGAAATGCTGAAGTAGCATGTCAGACTTCATTGACAAGGGATCCATATACCCAAGATGCTGTACAAAATGAAGTGAACTGAACAAGCTGGGAAAATCTAAAAATAACCTGCTCTACTCTGTGAATCTGTGATAGGTGGTCATGACATACTCTACAGTTATCCATCATGAATCTCACAGTCGCCTGGGATTTACCCAAAACAGGCAAATGACTTCTAGATTTTGAAAGGGGTGTGATTAAAAAGTGAATAATGATTAATAAGTGAATTAATGTAGGATAGGTTAAAACCTATCCTACATTAATGAATGGACATACTGTAGGTCACACTGACTCGAATAAAAGTTGCCATTCAAACAAATAAATTCAGTTTTACTTGCATCTACTATCGTAATGTTGGAGTGTAGATCTAGTAGGAGATATATGCAACCCTGGGTTATATCAGGCATCCCTGTGCACTATGATATGGGGAAGATCCTAAAGCTATAATCAAAATATTAATATATAAAAACTGCATAAAAGATTTGCTCTTGCGCGCTAGAACATGTCGCCAATGAGCAATGTAATGATGCTATGGTTATCTCTATAGTGTCACAATCAAATTATGGCAAAAACGAGCAGTCATCTCTTGCTCCTTCCACATACCCAACAGACTGGAAGGGAAAGAGAAAGTGCACTCAGGTCGGAGTGAGGAGAGGAACGAGATAAAATATGATGGTGTCTATGATAATGATAGAAAATCACAAATGCATTGAATTCATTGAAGTTGAAACAATATAAATCTCTAATAATGAGAGAAATTAATTAAAATATTATTTAACAAATTTCTGCATTTGTTGGCAAATACCATGATCACACAGTAATGTGATCTGTGGTTAGAAGGATGGTATGAGAATGCTCCCATTTCCTGTCACTTAGCACTTTTACCCAACAAAACAAACATGAGAGTTACTGTACATACAGTTTTAACACATTTATGGGAGAAAAAGGGGGAAAAGAAATGAAAAGGCTCAAAACATGTACTCACATGGTTCTGAAGACATTGTATTGTGGAAACATTAGTGAAGCAGATTTTGGAGACTGTGTCTGTGTTGCAAGCCAAAGGAACAGAACTACCATGCTGCCACCAGAGATGTGGCAGCATGGTAGATATCTTAGGGTAAGAGCTTAGTGCAATGTCGCGTGTTCAGCCAGCCAGGATGACTTCTGGGTGAACTAAGATGGTCATTCTAGGGCACAAACAGTGAGCGTCCAATGGAAAAGTGGAGTGGGACAGCAAGCTCATAATGTTTGCAACTTTGCTGTCTGTCCTTATTGGTAGGTGCTGATAGCAACAGAGAGAATAACCTCTTTTATACTCACTCACTCACCCACTCTCTCTCTCTCTCACACACACACACACACACACACACACACACACACACACACACACACACACACACACACACACACACACACACACACACACACACACACACACACACACACACACACACACACACACACACACACACACACACACACACACACACACACACACACACACACACACACACACACACACACACACACACACACACACACACACACACACACACACACACACACACACACACACACACACACACACACACACACACACACACACACACACACACACACACACACACACACACACACACACACACACACACACACACACACACACACACACACACACACACACACACACACACACACACACACACACACACACACACACACACACACACACACACACACACACACACACACACACACACACACACACACACACACACACACACACACACACACACACACACACACACACACACACACACACACACACACACACACACACACACACACACACACACACACACACACACACACACACACACACACACACACACACACACACACACACACACACACACACACACACACACACACACACACACACACACACACACACACACACACACACACACACACACACACACACACACACACACACACACACACACACACACACACACACACACACACACACACACACACACACACACACACACACACACACACACACACACACACACACACAAATTATGGCAAAAACGAGCAGTCATCTCTTGCTCCTTCCACATACCCAACAGACTGGAAGGGAAAGAGAAAGTGCACTCAGGTCGGAGTGAGGAGAGGAACGAGATAAAATATGATGGTGTCTATGATAATGATAGAAAATCACAAATGCATTGAATTCATTGAAGTTGAAACAATATAAATCTCTAATAATGAGAGAAATTAATTAAAATATTATTTAACAAATTTCTGCATTTGTTGGCAAATACCATGATCACACAGTAATGTGATCTGTGGTTAGAAGGATGGTATGAGAATGCTCCCATTTCCTGTCACTTAGCACTTTTAACCCAACAAAACAAACATGAGAGTTACTGTACATACAGTTTTAACACATTTATGGGAGAAAAAGGGGGAAAAGAAATGAAAAGGCTCAAAACATGTACTCACATGGTTCTGAAGACATTGTATTGTGGAAACATTAGTGAAGCAGATTTTGGAGACTGTGTCTGTGTTGCAAGCCAAAGGAACAGAACTACCATGCTGCCACCAGAGATGTGGCAGCATGGTAGATATCTTAGGGTAAGAGCTTAGTGCAATGTCGCGTGTTCAGCCAGCCAGGATGACTTCTGGGTGAACTAAGATGGTCATTCTAGGGCACAAACAGTGAGCGTCCAATGGAAAAGTGGAGTGGGACAGCAAGCTCATAATGTTTGCAACTTTGCTGTCTGTCCTTATTGGTAGGTGCTGATAGCAACAGAGAGAATAACCTCTTTCATACTCACTCACTCACTCACCCACTCTCTCTCTCTCTCTCTCTCTCTCTCTCTCTCTCTCTCTCTCTCTCTCTCTCTCTCTCTCTCTCTCTCTCTCTCCTCTCCTCTCTCTCTCTCTCTCTTTAGGTTTACTGAATGAAACATGTAGAAATTATGTATTATTTATTAATAGCAAATCCACTGAACCCCTGGAATTACAATATCATACTGTATTTGCAAAACTAATATGATTCCATTAATGATTAGAGGAAAAAAAAACAAAACAAAAAAAAACATTGTGGCACAACAAATGTAGTATAAATATATATATAAATCTGATATACATATAAATCACAGAGAAAAGAAAAGAAAAGAAAAGAATAAAAAGGAAAAAGTAAATAGCATATACTGTAACGCTGCATCCTACCCTAGTACACTTGTTTTGGCATAATCAAACTTACAAAATATGGTGTCAATATTGCACCTACATATAAACAGGCTTAGGCCTATGGGAAAAAGGCAACCCCTACAAAAGATAGAGAAAAGGCCCTGAAGAAAAAAAATTAAGTACAGAGAATCACCCCCCCCCCTTTTTTTCCAATATTTAAATTTTTCTATCACTCACTCGCTATTCTTTATACAAACACTCTGAAATGCTACATCTAATCACTTCAAGGTGCTTCTTTCAACTGAAAAATGAAAATAAACCTTTTTCTCCCCAATCAGTGAGCATGGTATTAAAAAAAAAAAAAAAAAAAAAAAAAAAAAAAAAAAAAAAAAATCAACTTAAAAAATTATTTACTCTCAGAACTTAAAAAAAAAGTAGGTGCTTCAGTGTTTCCACATGGTAATAATATGCTAATGCAGTACTGTATTGTTAAGCAGTGCTTTTCTGAATCAATTCTCATGCTTTCACAAGATAGTATATTTTATCACACAAGTGTTTCTAAATGTATAAAGACTTAGACACACAACAAACAATGATTATATGTCATCAAGCAACACAGGTATATCTGAGAAAGCTTTTCCCTAACCATTTCTCTACAACAACTAAGGAAATCGTTCGGCCATAGCTGCTTAATGATTCTTCAAACGGCCAACTATGTCTTTGGAAAAGATATGGAGGAGGTTTTGCTTTTATATGGCTTAAATAGGGTTTAATGAGGTTCCTTACAAGCTCTGGGATCATTTTTGTCACTGGAGATAGTCTAGACAGGAAACTAATCTTCTTAAAGCTAAAAAAACATGAGTAGATGAAAGTACAATCTAAGATAGAACTATCTTCCCTATTTTGTCTAAATACCTCTCCAAGCATTATGAGACCTAGCTAGTACCAATAAATGGTTAGTTGGTATGACTCACTAATTAGAGGTTTGAGGATTTTTTTTTTTTTTTTGATGCTTTGAAGTATTCAAGTATTCAAGTTTTGAAAACTATCTAATATGGAAAGGCACATTTTTAGGGTTCATGAAAGTATGTCAAAAAAGCAAGTAGTGAATGTTCATGTTTACAATATGGAGATTTTTTATTCTATTTCCCTCAGTGCTCAACTATATACAATATGGATGAAACATCTTAAAGCCATTAAACAACAAAAGATATACTGCTCACAGACCTGATATAAGCTCAATCCCCATGTGCTGGTAAAACATGAATGACTGAAATGCAGTTACTTCTAACAGTGAATTATGAACAGGAAACTTGTTTAATCAATATCTGTACATGTACGTCACAGACACATGTAAACTCGGTCAATCTTTCTGTTATGAATACCTCAAAATGTGAGAAGACAGTTGTATCTTAGATTATAAAAGATGCAAAGGAAGAAAAAAAGTTCAAAGAAATGATATGCTTAAAACTATAGTGCAAACCCCTTAAAGGTAGCTGCTATGGATCTTGCCATGAAAGAGGCTAAATGTCGGTGTCAGGTAGCTTGACCTTGGTGGGCAGAGGAGGTGCTTGTTGCTCCTCCTCCTCCATAAGACTGAGCTTGGTAAGGTCTTCAGGACGAACCAGTTTGATGGGCAGAGGTAGTGGGTCAGCCTGGACACTTAGTCCATTCTGGGGATAAACAATGATAAGCCCAAAATGAACTTTGGAGGAAGATGAGAAATTAATTAATCAATTAATATTCAAAAAGCCTCTGTTGGTATAACGACTCAAACATACAAACATTCCCACCCTCCCTACAACCATATTTCCAATTCAAAGCACACTCATACAATGATGGCCACTCACCTTGAAAGTTTTTGTCTTTGGTGGACTAGCAGTTGTGCAGACGGCAAAGATCACATACAGTGTAAAGAGGACGAGGGCCAGAGCTGAAGCTACGAGGAGGTAAGGAGGAACACCAAGGTGGCGAGACACACAGCGTACCACAGATGGGTCCTGGGAGTCCTCGTCACTCATCACTACCAAAAGAAAATTTGGATGTAGTTCCAGTTTTGTAAAATGTATGGAAAGCACATTTTTAGGGTTCATGAAAGTATGTCAAAAAAAGCAGTAGTGAATGGTTCATGTTTACAATATGGAGATTTTTTATTCTATTTCCCTCAGTGCTCAACTATATACATATGGATGAAACATCTTAAAGCCATTAAACAACAAAAGATATACTGCTCACAGACCTGATATAAGCTCAATCCCCATGTGCTGGTAAAACATGAATGACTGAAATGCAGTTACTTCTAACAGTGAATTATGAACAGGAAACTTGTTTAATCAATATCTGTACATGTACGTCACAGACACATGTAAACTCGGTCAATCTTTCTGTTATGAATACCTCAAAATGTGAGAAGACAGTTGTATCTTAGATTATAAAAGATGCAAAGGAAGAAAAAAAGTTCAAAGAAATGATATGCTTAAAACTATAGTGCAAACCCCTTAAAGGTAGCTGCTATGGATCTTGCCATGAAAGAGGCTAAATGTCGGTGTCAGGTAGCTTGACCTTGGTGGGCAGAGGAGGTGCTTGTTGCTCCTCCTCCTCCATAAGACTGAGCTTGGTAAGGTCTTCAGGACGAACCAGTTTGATGGGCAGAGGTAGTGGGTCAGCCTGGACACTTAGTCCATTCTGGGGATAAACAATGATAAGCCCAAAATGAACTTTGGAGGAAGATGAGAAATTAATTAATCAATTAATATTCAAAAAGCCTCTGTTGGTATAACGACTCAAACATACAAACATTCCCACCCTCCCTACAACCATATTTCCAATTCAAAGCACACTCATACAATGATGGCCACTCACCTTGAAAGTTTTTGTCTTTGGTGGACTAGCAGTTGTGCAGACGGCAAAGATCACATACAGTGTAAAGAGGACGAGGGCCAGAGCTGAAGCTACGAGGAGGTAAGGAGGAACACCAAGGTGGCGAGACACACAGCGTACCACAGATGGGTCCTGGGAGTCCTCGTCACTCATCACTACCAAAAGAAAATTTGGATGTAGTTCCAGTTTTGTAAAATGTAAATACAGATCAATAGTTGATTAACTTGTTACTTCTGCCTTTTTATATAAAAGAGTCATATCTAAATAGTCTATAAATTAACCATGGTAGATCTGGATACATTAAGTCAAAAGCAACAGTTCAAGATGCATATCAGTCTCTAGTTTAAGGGTCACTAGTGCCTTGTTTTCTTTTCTCACACATCTGAAAATATTCTAAAGAAATGGTTAGTTGCATAAGCGATAAACTATCTACCAATTATCCATTAACCAAAATTCTATAAACCACAAAATTAATAAATACTGTCTTGAAAAGCTATAATAATCTCATAGACTAATGATGTGACTTGACTTCATCTCTTGCCTGTAAGTATCTGCCATGCCATGCCACATTATCCAAAGCTAATGGGTCAAGATTTTTTTTTTATCATTAATTTCTAATTTCTGTTGGTGAAGTCAGCAAGAATCTTATTAAGGTATGACTTCAGGATAAATTATTTACAAATATAATCATACTGGCCCTAGAAATTTACACCAGCTGCCAACAAACAAACACCTCTTTCTCCACATTTAAATAATAACCTATATATTCCCAAACTACATCCAAGACAATAACAACAAAAAGGAACAGGAACTCACACTGCCTGGGCTCAGCCTGGAGTCCCTGCAAAGGTGAGTCTCCATCTGCTCCCTCAGGCAAGATTTCCAGCATGATCTCTGGCTCCGACTCAACAGCCACGATGGAGCTGTCATCGCTCACAAAGTATGTGACGAGAGATGTGCGCACAATGTGGACAGCGCCAACAATTGAGGAGTAGACAGCTTGCATCTGCATTAGTGGCTTCAATAGGTGAAGGGTTGGTTTCTCCTCTTCTTCTTCTGCCTGAAATGAGAAAAAGAAAAAGAAAATCATGATAGAAAAACCCAAAATACACATACAAAAAAATTAAATTAATGAAACAATGTTAAAACAGATTGATTTCATCTTCAGGTCACTGATTCTAAAGTCTGCTTTTGAAACTGTTCCTTCATATTTCAACAAAAATCAACCACTGACTATGCCA